CAAGACATCACCTACACTATCATAACATCCACACCTAGACAACACCTGAATTACAGCAACACCATGACAACACCTTGATAATCATACCAACATCATCATACCATCCACATCAACCACATCCTTACCAAGACACCACACATATCAAGACAGACCTCATCTCATCACCAACACCATCACCAACACCAACACCAACACTAACACCATCACCATCACCAACACCAACACCAACCACACCATCACCAACACTCACCACATCATCACCACCAACACCAAATCACACCATCAACACCCACATCAAACTTTCCATAAAATCACCCATGTTATCACCCTGGTAAAGCATACATACATCAATCCATAATTAAAGTCTTGAACTCTCCAACTCCATCTAAACAAACAAATGGCTTCTCCTGTAACATATTCCTTCCTGCTGAGGCACAGAACAACGGGTTACATCTCAGAAAACCCATTTCACGTGACACTGAAATATTACGCATCTGCAACAGATGTCTAGACAACAAAATAATGAAACATATTGACGGAAGCAGAACAAAGAGGACAAAGAACATTCACCTATCTTCCCCTTCCTCTTCAACAGGAGTTAGAAACAGAATCTGAAACTTGAACTTCCGTCAGAACAGGACACAAGTAAAACCTAGTTATACACCATCCCTCAAGAGGGTCAGTATAGCTAAACGCAACACTCTGTTGTCATGCTCTGTTGTCAGGTGTCGGTCAAAGTCTTATCTTGATTTCGTAGTTTAATGCCTGTATGAAACTGTGAGATTGTAATAGTGTTAGGGAACTTAGTTTAGCATACATAAACACATGTCTTAAGGGGTCAACTACTTATAGTAATAATATTCATTCCTTCTGAAATGGAGCAAAACAATTGTATTTTGGATATCCAGAAAACAATAAGCAGACGGTTGGTAGAAAATATGTTCTATTATGCTAGAGTCACGATCTGAGTTATTGTAGTTATAAATAATGACGGTAGATAACAATGTAATAATACCAGTGTTATGACTGACACTGTTAAAGTTATAGATATAATGTGGGGTAGATATAAATGTTTTCGTAATATAGTCTCAGGATTAGTTTAGCGTAGATACTGACGTAAGATACTAATGTAATAATACCAGCATCATCATTGACACTGTTAAAGTTATAAATATAATGTCTAACAGACATTAATGTTTAAGTTACAGTGAGTGAGTAACGTTTTATGCAGCCTTTAGCAATATTCCAGCAATATCACGAGGGACACCAGAAATGGGCTTCACACATTGTGTTTTAGTAATACCAGTCTCTGGATAGGTATTGTTTATAGCTATAAATAATGGCACCAGAAAACCACCCCCTACCACTTCAGGCAAATATCCAAATCCAAACTTTATACAAATCTAACTATGCAGCCCTAACTCAGAATCCCCTTCAGGTTGCCATATTTTTCTGTGAAATCATCCCTCTTTCAATCAAACACTAAATAGACAGTGAGCCAGTGTGCAAAATACGCCCTATGTTGGAAAGCGCACGTTAAATCTCCAAATCCCAATCATAATCAACAATATTGTAATAACGCCTTTCTCAGGATTTGTGTTATTTTGGGAACAAAAATGTGAAGCAAAAAACAATACCATCATAATAACATTGTCTATCACATAATACCACTGTTGGTTCTTTTGATGTACTACCATTTCAATACTATTTCAGTATTTGTGATATATGACCGGTACAAAGGACAACTGTAGTTTATTTCCTCCTTACGTTTCCAACTAGGAGGACAAACATTCACACAAGCATGTGATAAATTAATATTTAAATATTTAAAACCCATATATCAGGGACCCAAAGGCATTCCAGGTATGAATACTGGTCCCCCCAGCAACCTAGCCTTTCTGTAACAGGTGACTACATGCACTGGGTAGTCGACTCAGATAACTGGTTGACTTCACCAGGCACCGATTTCTCGAAACAAACTTAAGTCTGAGTTTTGACTTAAGTTCGAGTTTTTACTCAAATCTGAAAAAAACGCAGGAAAATGCATTCCACAGAATGAACTGAAATTGGTATTAAACTCAAACTATACAAGACAATTTGAGTTTGGTGGGTAGATTACTTAAGTTGTTTGGGCTTTTATATTTTGAAAATGCAGTTGAGTTAAAAATTCAGCTGTTTCAAATTGTGAAACTCAGTTTGAGATTTGAGTAAAAACTTAAGTTTGTTTCGAGAAATCCAGGCCAGAGCTCCAGATAAGATTTAGCTCATGTGGGTACTGTACCCACTGTATTTTTTGGGAGTGGGTATTATGAATGTTGAGTGGGTATTTTATTTTCCGTTACCCACTGCTTTCAAATATGTGAGTATTTCAGTCATTTTCCTCACCTAAGTATATGTCATTGAGTAAGTTTACTAAGCAGGTATGTTCTGCCTTATGTCATACCTAATCAAAACCAACTTTAATATAATGGAAATCGATGTCTTTTTCATTACGCAAGAGATTTTTATAAATATATTCCGTACGCATTTGTTTTAAACTTTTTGCATATCTAACATTTTAAATGCGTAATTGGTACGCAACAATTATTTTTTCAATGCGTAATTGGAAATTTTCCATGCGTATTTTACCCGGCTTATCTGGGCCTCTGCTTCACGTCACGCCATTCTAATGGGATGGATGGATGTTCCATGATGTTCTTGACTTGATGATTTACTGATTTCCATCATATAGATGGAATATTGCTCAGTTCAGCATGAAACAAGAAATCAGTCAATTGTATACCACAATATGAGACACTATTGGACACAAAAGGAGACGTCAACATTTTGTGGAATAGCTGCAGGACTTCGGACCATTTGCTCTTACACATGTGTATGATCTATCACTTATCCTCACATTAAATGTACATTGTTTTAAACCATAAGGTTTATTCTGCAGCTTAACGGGCCCTTTCCACCAACCTTTCTACAACAAAGAATTTTGCATTCATACCATGATACATCCCATTTTGTCTAATATTTTACAACACTGACAGTTTCAGAGCATTACCTATAGCTACATCCACGTACACCAAATTTTATTACATTTTGAAAGAAAATAGCCAAGTAATAGCCCCAAGTACTGTCAGGTTTCTCTCTTGCAAAAAAATAAAGATACACAACCTTCATATTTTCAAACACTCACAAACATTATGAACATATACCATGAATATGACATGTGAGATACTTTTGTGCAGTATTCACTGAAGTTAATGCATGTGATGCCTGTAATCAATGGGTATATAGATTTGTAAGGAGACACTGGAGGAGCAGCTGAAAGGGATATGGGTAATTTTCCACAGTGTCGTCATAATAGTGTTGTTGCTTTTTCCAAACTTATGCATATTTGTGCACAAACTGAACAGGTTAATTTTTATAATAGGGATTTACTTTTCATATTTACATAAACATACAGTTTATCTACAGCTGTGATACAATCCTATCTCTGCTGCTGTAGCATGGCAGGAGTACTGCGAGTGAGTGAGTGAGTGAAAATGTGTTTACCCCTTAAGTGGAACCCACATGCCCACAAACAAAGAAACATACTCTGTTCAAACATACAATCAGTTTTCAGGAAAGCCAACTGCTTTATTTCAATATCAACATAGATAAGCCATGAAATAATTCAGTGTATATAGCAGACAGCTCCATAGTTCTAAGCAAACAGAATTCAGCATTTCAAACACTTGGGGGTGAACGCCAACTTCACAATGTCAAAACTCCACAAGGCACATTGTGACTGCAAGATATTAAAAGGCAAAGATCTTGCTGGCAATTTTGCAGTCAACATGATGCAGTCATGGAACTTTGTTACCTCCAGAGTGAGATCATAATCACACATGAAAGCGAATGTCGTAACATGGTATACAAAGCAATATTTACACTACTACAATAGCAATAATATCTGAGAATGTGAGTTCTGTTATACTATAGGGTCAGATACAGCCACCCATAAGTCCACAGCCCTGTGACTTGAGAAAGTCAAGGATCACCATGGGTTGTCTCACAAAATCTGGGCGTTGGGGTAGCCTAGTGGTTAAAGCGTTCGTTCATCACGCCAATTTAGGCCTGGGTTCGATTCCCCACATGGGTACTATGTGTGAAGCCCAATTCTGGTGTCCCCTGCCTTGCTGGAATATTGCTAAAAGTGGCATCAAACTAAACTCACTCACTCACTCACTGACAAAATCTGAGTTACTTCAACGACTTATTTATAATGACACTCTAAATAAAAGTGCTGTATACTATAAGTCTGTATTAACCGTACAGATAAAACCATTGTGAAACAGGATTTCAACAACATATTGAAAGTCAATCTGCTGCAGATGTGAAGCGATATTGCTGATCACTTTAGACTAAATATCAAACTGTCAAAGGGATATATGTCAGACTAAATGGGAATTAATTCCCATTTTATGACTGGTCACAAACTGTCTGGACCAAATTCATGTGTGCATTGCTGCAATGTTCTGTGTGGCACCATTGCATAACATCGAACCGTGAAGATCTGGGTTAGAAATTTTTTTTCAGTTGTAAGAGGCGACTAACGTGATCTTGTGGTAAGGCTCACTGACTTGGTTGACACGTCATCATATCCCAATTTAGTATATAGATGCTCATGCTGTTGACAACTTGATTGTCTTGTCCAGACTCAATTATTTACAACCCACCGCCATATAGTTTGAATATTGCTGATATGATGATGACATGAGTCAACCCAGTCAGCGAACCGGACCACCTGATCCCGTTAGTCACCTCTTACGACAAGCATGGGTTACTGAAGATCAGTTCTAACCCGCATCTTCATGGGTCCTGAATTATCAGAACTATCCAGTCTTTCAACATTCCTCAAATGAGGTCCCACATATTGAATCAAGTCTATGTTAAACTGATCTCTATGTTAAGAAATAACTCGGTGAATATCCTACATTGACAAAGCAAGAAACAAAAGATATATTCACCTTTTTCAATATTTTTTTCTGATTTCAAAAGTTGTTCAAAGTACTTTTGTTGATGTGATGACCGTTTCACTCTGCTGCTGATGTAGGTTGCCTTGAATGTGTTCAATTCTTTGTGTCTGAAGTACAAATGGAAATAAAACCTTAATAAACCTAGCACAATAGCTTATCAATTTATTCCAAATGATAACAAAAGCCATTTGTAGTCTGGTGGTAATCTTTTTCTTGGGACAACAATCATTTGGGTTTGAATATCATGATAACATCTGACCTACAAACTAATTAAAAAGTGTTCATTCCAGTCTGTTTCTATATTAAATATAAAATATTTGTGACGCAGCTTTCTGTTCAGTCTCATGTTATCGAGTTTATTTTTATAATTTTGTGATTAAATCATTGAACCAACAGATTTTACCATCCTCTATCTCAAAATTGGGTTTGTGATTACAAGGCCATGCAAACATATGTTGGAGGTAACAGATGTCAATGAAACTCTCTGTGTGAAATTAATCAGCTTGACTTTAAATATGTCCGTCTGGAAAGCTAACTAAACATATTGTAAATCATGATTATTGCCTGCTTTTATAAACTGACTCATATTCATCTGAACGTATTGGAGCAAATGGTCTTGTCAGGTAAAGCCAACTATGAAGAAACAATGACATAACAAAGCTGCGTAAGGTAACTAAGTACCAGATTTGACAGGTGAGGTGAAATTGGGTTTAAAATCGTGCTTGAGAATATTTCGCTCATATGACGACGTGCATGTGTGTGTGTATGTGTAGGTGGGGCTGCTTGTACTAGACCAGACTTAAGCTGGTTTTATAGTGCTAGCCCACTGAGATACCATGCCGCAGTGAAGAATGAATACCCCACTCAGACACATTATACTGACTCCGAGCCGACCAGTCCTTGTCGTACCCATTAATGCCGAACGCCAGGCAGGGACCAACAAGTACCATATTTTAACGTCTTTTGGTTTGATGCTGCCGGGCATCGAACCCGCGACCTTCCGCTCTCCGGGCGGACGCTCTAACCACTACACCACGGAGGCGGTCACCAGATTTGACAGTGCGTCTCTGAAAGTTCCAATTCAAGGGTGGTCATTTCTTTCATTCAAGTTGATCACACTGCTATGACAGTCGCCAGCTGTGTATAATGGCATCTGTGTTCTTGTTAACCTTGTCAAATAGCCTTATAATTATGCATTGGTGTTATCGCTTTAACTGAATAGTTCTTGTAGTTCAAAGGAAAGGTACTCGTATTAATTTTTTTACAAACTTTAGGCCAGGGTATAACATTTGCATTAATTTATGATTTAAAGTACAGTGGAATCTGTCAATTCCGGACTCTCTGTAATCCGATTTTCTCCATAATCTGGACTACTTTCTGTCACTCAGTCCCAGCAAAATTGTTCTTATTTTATCATTAAAGCTTGTTTTATAATACAGACTCTCTAAATTACAGATTACGGACTAAAATAGCAGTCCCGACAATCAACTTGCTGTGAGAATAATGCTTTTGAATCCGGACATATCTGACCAAAATAACAGTACCGACAACTAACTTGCTATGAGAACAATGCTTTTGTAATCAGGTAAAGGATTGAAAAAAAGCAATTAGATTGATAGCCTTGAATAGTCTTGAAATTGCTATGTTTGTTTTAGTCATGTTTGATTTATGTAGTGCAATATTTCATGTTTTATTATTAAAAACTACCAGTCAATATCAATATGATTTTCAGATACTCATCGAAATAATTTAAATTTAAATCATTAATTAAGATTATTTCTGAATTGTTAGTTTAGTTTTTTTTATCCTTTTTGTTTGTAAGAATTCAAACATATTGAAAATAACACAACACGACCTAAACAGAAAGTAACAGTATCAGCTTATCTTGTACATGCATCTACTGGATCTTTAGATATAGTATACTATCAGTAATTAATTATTGATCGTCAGTAATAAATTATTGAGTTTGTGTTCACAAAAATATAATAGATCAATACCAAACGATAATGAAGGCCACCAGTGTCTGAATATATTCATTACAATATATATACTAAAGTATCACTTAAAATAGTGTACAAGCGATTCATGTTGTGCCATGCTATGAAAATGTGATATGAGTAACAAATAAAAGCATTTATAGAAGTGACATCATTGTTTAAACATGGTCAAACAGAATCTACACAATCAGCAATCTGATCACACACAGTCAGTTAGCAAACAGTCTAACCACACGACCACATTTAACTTGTCACAACCAGCTGGTTCAGTATACAGTATAGAGGCCATTTGTATTTCTTTTACGTTTCTGTTAATTGCCATCTCTTCACATTTTAGTTATTTTTATGACAAAGGGCATACATTTCTCTATGAGCTATATCACTCAACATTTAGTTGGGATATTCTCTGTGTTCATGTGGGGATAACTCAGACTGGTTGTTTGAAAGTGTGGTTAACAATAGGGTTGATTTGGCTGGACTGAACGTTACACTTCACTGCATATTTCTCAAAGTAATCACTTATATGCATTATTTTCTTCATACGTTTCATAAAAGTGTGAGCCAACACAGTAGCCCTACTGAGAGTTGAGCAGTATTATTCAGACTTGCATAACTAGGTGAACTTATAATTAGGTCTTATTTAGTTGTCGATTTGGGGGAGAAGTGAAGCCTATATGCAACAAAGGTTCCAGCTATATTACTAGGTATTACAGCCATATAACTTCTTCCCATTCAACAAATCAACTGAAATAATTGCGGGTAGAACTAAGCACTACATATTGTGAGAAATGCAAAAAATATTCTAAAATTTTGCTTGCACACACACACACTCCATAATTACCATTTAGGGCTCAATTTAAACAAATGAAACCTACTTGCACCCAGTGCAACCTTAGGTAGAAACCTTGTTGCATCAGACAAAAACAGGTTGCACCTGCTGCTCAATATAAAATCTTGCATAAAATATGATGCTTGAGTTTGTTAATGATAGTTTAGAATATTATAACAAAAGAAATCTGGGACTGATAATATTAGTTATCTCACTTCCAAAAAGTTCATGAACAGTAAGTCCTTCAGTCACTGCTCATACAGTCATCAGAGTCACTCTGCCAAGTCAGTTCCTCATCATTCTGTTTTCCAGCTGAACCTCAAAAATTGACATGCACCTGGTGCAAGTTACACTAATAACTAGGTTGTATTTTGTAATACTGGGTTGCACCAGTGCAAGTAACAAAGCACTAAATCGAGCCCTACCATTACTTTAAAAGAAGCTCAACACGCATCAGTACAATACATATTGTGATAATGAAGAATTATTCTAAACCATTGCTTGCACAAACATACACACTCAATATTTACCATCGCTATAAAGGAAGTTCAACATGCATCAGTACAATACATACTGTGATAAGTTGAGTTGAGTTGGGCTTTACGTCACATCGGCATTATTCCAGCCATATAGTGATGAGAACAAGTTTGCATTAATATACATTGTAAGTACAAAGTGGTTTCGTTTCAAAGACATACATTCATTACGTTGTCATTTTAGAACAGAGAATGTCATAGAACTAGATTGAAAAGCAGGTACATTCGTTATTGACATTACACAGTTACATTTTATGATATAGATCGACTTCCCTCAGGTAGTTTAGTATCAGATGAGCGCTCACGCTGGAGAACAGATCTTTCAGATTGGTTGCGTGATAATGCGAGTCCCTTGCAGATGCAAAATCCACACAGTCAAGCAGAATACTGTGATAATGAAGAATTATTCTAAACCATTGCTTGCACAAATATACACATGCAATATTTACCATTGCTATAAAGGAAGTTCAACATGCATCAGTTCAACACTTAAACTGCATCATATTCCAATACCAACACATCTCCAAACATCCAGTCAGAATGATCACTTATCTGACCATTCTGAAAATCTGTACTGAACATTCTGAATATCCTTACTAAGGTTTAGTTTAACTCCTTCACAAAGGAGCAGCGCTTGTGTCGGAAGATAAGCAATGAGGTCGCACAAGGGATGAGAATAACAGGAAGCATCTGAGTGCACATATGTTCATCAACTTCCCTACGTCGTATCATTAGAAGGAATGTCCTTCAAAGCTGATGCAGAATGTCACTGGTTCAACTTTTAACTGTGCATTGATTGTTTGTTGTTTAAGGTGGACTCAGAATATTAAAACTATATGACTTGGTTTGTAAATAATGAAGACTTTTAGTCTTTGAATGACATGTAGAAGTGAAGATCAAAAGTTAAATGTATAGAAATTAACTTCTGTAATATAAGAAGCATGATGTTTCAGGGTATATTCTTATTCCTTGCAATTGAAAATGTGCCAGTAATTGTATCATTATCTTGAAATAAACAACTGATTTCACTACACAATATCTAACTGAAGGACATAAGTAACTCTAAACAAGGAATAATTAATATTGTGCTAACATGAATTTTTGAAGAACTGTATCACAAATGTACATGATAAACTGCTCAAATTCAAAACCAAATCTTCAAATTATACCTATTTTAACACATTCAATGTATCCAACAACCAATTCTACATGTGACAGGGTTAATATGCACTTTCTACAGAGATTTCAAAGAGCATAATTTGACTGTTGCACAAAAGCTGCTTGATCAAAGTTACAACATTCAAAGCCTTCAAATGCCTAATGTTACACTGTGAGGACATTCCCAAATTTGACACATCAACGACCATAGTTTCCTATTCTCACTTGAACATTGTGTTCTCATGTTTTTTCCGGTGAACATCTGACTTATCTTTATGATCTTCATGATTAAGATAAATGAATGCAGCAAACAGGATTCGGGCAATCCCAACACTGTCAGGCTGGTGAGACTCATCAGCTCATGTACCTTTGCAGAGCTCCAGATAAGATTTAGCTCATGTGGGTACTGTACCCACTGTATTTTTTTGGAGTGGGTATTATGAATGTTGAGTGGGTATTTCATTTTCCGTTACCCACTGCTTTCAAACATGCGTATTTCAGTCATTTTACTCACCTAAGTATTATGTGACTGAGTAAGTTTACTAAGCAGGTATGTTCTGCCTTATGACTATGTCATACCTAATCAA